TGGAAGTCACATAGATCCATGATAGGTCTTAGGTAATCGTCTCACTTTAGCTATCCCTAGTTTGTGACTAAGTAGCCGACAAGAAGAAGATTCATCTTTTTAATTCTCAATCCAAGTATCGAATCCTATCTGCACGATCGTACCTAGGACATTATACCTATGGATATTCACTACTCATCCTAGAAACGTAGTTAATACCTAGTACCTAGGCATCAAATCTCAAAGACTTCTATTCTTTTATAGAAACCAAGTTCGAGATCGAGTCCGATTCCGAGTCCGAGTCCTAGAACATCACAAAATATTTATACACAAAACGTCCAGCACAACTTGGAACTTCGTTATTAATCTATAACAAATTCGGGGCCGACTTACCTAATTTAGTCTCGTATGCGCTTTTGGTTTGCGAGACCGAATACGATTGGTTCGAGAAGCAAGGGGATCAAGGGGATGCAACAATTATTTCCCTATTACATCCCTACTACAACGTTCATAGTGTCAGCGCATCCGCATCCGCATACGTCAACCCTGGCCGCCCAGAAGATCCAACCTCTCTGAGAGCTCTCCTCTAACATTTCACTGTCTGAGGTAGTGTTGACTCGCGTCCCGTCAGCTGGTCGACATCTTTGCGACTGGCTTTTTTCACGTCTTAGCCCTAAGACAACCAGGACAGTTAAGGCAGGCAACCAGCCTCTTTCGTAGGCTGGAAATCTGTGCTTTGCGCTTACACGGCGATACAGCGGCTCGGGTCCTCCGGACATTAGTTGCGCGCTCTTAGCATTGTCTTGGACCTTATGAAAGCTCCAGCGTCGCGGACATCGCAGCCATTCAAATTCCCCACAGCTCCGAGACTTGGCTTTATTATTACTCGCCTCGCTGGTCGTCCAAAATCTAATCTGCATTCATCTTCATTTCGTGCCTCAACCCTCTTGCGCGCATTCTCTAGCCCCGCCAGCCTTCTCACTCGACCGTTATCGTCATCAAAGCCTGCACTGCCCCGCGGATCTCTACCACGCCGCAATATTTGCGATCGCAAAACTAATCTGTCACTGTTTACTTTCCAAGTAAGAAAAGCGCATTGCGACAGAAGAAAATCGACCCAAGGATTTCGATATTATAACTACAGAAACCAACGGATTCTAAAAAGTCAAATTTTATCTGCGCTATATATTATACCCCTAGTAGTATTCGGCTCTCTCGTATTTTACGGTTGGGTTCCCTTTAATTCTGAACACCAATTGATCGCACAAGGCCCCGCGAGGAACTATTCCGGCAAGGAGGTTGAAGTTGAAGTCGTCATGGAACAACTTCCAGGCAGACCGGGGAACCTGACCCCCGAACAGGAAGAGAAGTTGCGCAAGTTCTGGGAAATGTTCTTGCAAGTATGTGGCGTCCTTGGCGACGATGCCGCGGGTAACGATACGGAGAATGCTTCCGAGACTGCGTCGCGAACAGGAACCAAGGAATCCGAGAAGCCTAAGAAAAGCCGGATGTCCCTCTTCAAGAAGAAGAAGGATAAGGATAAGGGAACTAGCACACCTACCAAGATTGCCGCAATGGAAAGTCTTAAAGAAAATGACCCGGAAGACAAATGGGGAGAAAACAAGTTGTACCTCGAGACCCTAGCTACTCATCCTCCAGAGCAGATAAGAGCTACAATCTGGTCGATGGTGAAGCATGACCACCCTGACGCCCTTCTATTACGATTTCTGAGAGCTAGAAAGTGGGATTTGCAGAGAGCGCTCGTAATGTTAATGTCGACTATGAATTGGAGATGTTCGGATGCTCATGTTGACGATATAATTATGGCAAAAGGCGAAGAATTCGCCGCCGTCAACGAGAAGAGCGGGGATGCGAAAAGCAAAAAGCTGGCCGAAGACTTCTTGGCTCAGTTGCGCATGGGGAAGAGCTACTGCTATGGCGCCGATAAGGCAGGAAGGCCAATTTGCATAGTCAGAGCTCGCTTGCATAAAGCAGGCGAACAGTCAGAGGAAGGTCTCGAACTGTTTACGGTGTACTTGATCGAGACGACGCGGTTCATGTTAAGCCACCCTGTGGATACTGCTGTAAGTGTGCTTTGACATGTCTAAAATGTGAAAGCTAACGGTAACAGTGCGTTCTATTTGACTTAACCGGATTTTCATACGCCAACATGGTGAGTAGAAAAAAAGATACCATTAGGCCAATCCTAGGCAAAGCTAATATTTCATAGGACTACACGCCAGTCAAGTTCATGATTAAATGTTTCGAGGCGAACTATCCCGAAAGTCTCGGGGTGGTCCTCGTCCACAAGGCCCCGTGGGTCTTCCAAGGCACGTCACATCGCTAGCTCTTTGCATTCTTCTCCACTCTAACCGAAGTTTATAGGTATCTGGAAGATTATCAAGGGGTGGCTGGATCCGGTGGTCGCAAGCAAAGTGCATTTTACAAATAATCTCTCAGACTTAGAAGAATTCATTGATTCGAAGAGGATACCTACCGATCTAGAAGGCACGTCAGGTTATTCGTACAAGTATAAGGAACCAGTACCCGGGGAGAATGCGAAGATGCAGGATACGGAGACCAAGGAGAAGCTCTTGCAGGAACGCGAGCTGTTGTACGAAGAGTATGAGAGCAAGACGCTTGAGTGGATCAACGAGCCGGACGCCGGGAAGAGGGCCGTGCTTCACGCAGAGCGGGATGCCGTCGCTAAGAACCTGAGAGAGCAATACTGGCGCCTGGACCCCTATCTCAGATCGAGGTCATACTACGACAGGGTGGGAGTCATCAAACCCGACGGAGGCGTCAACTATTACCCCTCGGAGGCTACCCAAGCTCCCACGAACGGAATGGCGGCGGCGATCGCCGCGGGAGAGACGGCTGCTAATGACGTGGACTGAATAGATAATGGGCAGTGCAGCGTAGAGGGATAAAACAAAGACCGGGTGCATGGGAACGGGCAATTCGCATAGAATAGGCATTGTATAAATACCATCGAGTTCGGTGGCTGGGATTTCACCATTATTATCTCGCTCGTAAGCTCATCCAATCATTGTGAATTTCATCGTGCTTAGATTTTTTTTGTCATTTTGAGTAAAACTACATGTAAGTATTCTTGTAGCTATGAGGATCCCGTAGCTTTAGGTATGGCTTCTAGAGTTTAAAGCTGTCTTGATCATGTAGTTACACCTTGGGCTTGATCTCCTCGAAGATGGCTATCAAGGCATCCATATCTGTCTCCTTCTGAGGCCAGCCTACACCGAGTCCTTCTGCTTCGTTTGGCTTGGGAATCTGGTGGGTCAGTTAGTAGAGCATATAGTAATACTCGGGGTTTATGCTTACCATGTGGAAGTGAACCTATAATTGTAGATAAGCATGGTCAATCTTTTGTTTCCTGTGGAGTTTTTGGATGATAAGGGGGCGTAAACTTACGTGATCGACGACTTGATGAGCGATGCGGCCGTTGTTCTGAAGGATGTTGAAATTCACGGCACCGGTGGCGGTGGCTAGCTTCTTAGCTACGGGTAGAACTTCACTCAATTGCTCGTCGGGGATGTCGGTTAGCTTCGCGCCATGGAATTTGGGAATGACGAGCTGTTGTATGAGATGTAAGTATCTAGTTAAACTGTCCTGATATAGGGGGAGGTAGTGTTGCCGAGCCTTACAGCATGGCCCTTGCTTAGTGGGTTGATGTCAAGGAAAGCAAGAGTCTTGTCACTTTCAAAGAGCTTGAAGCAGGGGATTTCTCCTATAGTTATAATATTAGTGATTAAGTTTCATAGGAACTCATAGCAGTAGTTCTACAATGAGCTATTGACACATTGAATGAGGCAGTCGTAAGATTATGCGTAGCTTAGTCAATGAGGACACTATAGAACTAGGAAAACTTGCCCTTAATGATCTTGCAGAAGATACAGGCGGCCATTTTAGATGACATTGATTTGCAGACACTCAATTAGGTTGATTAGGATGGAGACGTGGACCTTGATGGCAATTTGAATCTAGATATAAAGACGTAAGAAATATATTCCGTGCTTGTTACTCTAGATCAATTGTTTGTTAAACAGCTCACTGTTTCGGCCTCATAGCCAGTTACAGCTTAAGACGTCACATATCGATGGAGGGGCTCGGAGCTACCCCGCTATCGTCCGGACTAGTCGGTAAATTGTCGGCAAGGCCATCGGACTTAATAAGTGACAGATTCTATGATAGATTCTACATAGAGGGAATGACCTCGTATACATGTATTTGTTATATCTTGAAAAATATTGAATTTGCCTATCGAGTATGAATCTAGAAAAAAAACACACTGCTCGAATGGTTAGAATATGAAATAGGTGCAATGTTGAAATGTAAAAAGGAACGCGATAACTTCAGCTGCTTGTGTAAGCGACGTGCCAAAAATGTAACGGGAATAAAGTCAAGCTTGGATGACATCAAAAAGCAAATGGCGGTTGATAAAAAGTCTAAAAAGAAAAGTAAAAAATTTTGACTAGCAAAATTGAATCTGGAACTTCCAGAGTAGTGTTTCCAAAGATTAGTGTAAAGGAGCTTTTTGGGTTGCGCAAGGTTGAGTCAGGTAAAAGGCATGAGTCAAGTACTTTTATGCAATCCCGCTCCTGAAGAAATTTGTCTACAATTTGATCTTATAAACCCAAAGGTGGGTTGGGACATATGGGCCAATTAGAGCCGCCTAGAATTGGCCAATGCGACCAGCTCACCGCTTGATACTTGGACAGCTGCACAATGCTTCATTGCCAGATATGAATAGGATTCTTCTTTCACAAGTGCATCTATGTTGCATAGCACAATTGCTTGTCATTACCGTGCCTCTCCACAGATCTTGCGATCTTGCCTAAGATTATCGTGGTGCCCTTCGTCTTTAAACTTGAAATACCCCGCGCATTTGGAGCAAATCACTTGCAGCTTGTCCGTACTATTAAGTACTATATATGAGAAACAAAAAGATATTCAAATGTCAAATATTGTATAGTTCTACACAATCTGTTAAGACATCAAAAAAGAGGGACCACCCGGGATCGAACCAGGGACCTAAGGATGATTGTGTAACTGCAATCCTTCGCTGCGTAACTGTTAGAAACCAAATCTTGAATTTTGGAAAATGGGAGAATCACTAACCTCTACCACTGAGCTATAGCCCCCAATTGATTGGTTGAAGTGGCGAATTTTAAAGTGTATTATAGAGTAAGGACACCCCTAGCAATCTTAGTACGACGTGTCTAGTGGCTTGTCGGGATTGGAGGTCTAGAAATAAGCCGGGCAAATAGCATTTGCGGAGAGCATATCTGGATACTTGTCCTTGTCCTTGGGGAAAATGCATGTTAAGTGCTTTGAGTACGAAGAATCTGGCATTAGAATTTAAGAAAATGATGGATGAAAAATCGCACACAAATCTAATCTAGCTACAGAGCTAGTTGTTGGCTGCTGGTTGCTAGCAATTCGCAAACGCGATGACGTGCGAAGGCTAGGACCTAAGCAATTCTAAAGCCGTGTTCGGATCAAGAATATGTATGAGAATGAAGTGAAGCCATTTAACGAACCACTAGATAGGTATCATAAAAAATTTTTTTTAATACGAAATCAGAATTCCATTATAAATCATCAGTAAGGTGTATCTGTATCTAGGTGTATAACTAAACTTTTCAAAAGCCAGAGCTGGTTCCAAGGTTGCTGCTCGGCTCATAAATCCTCCTGTATAATCAATCGCTAGGTATTCACATATCGTAACCCATTATATCATAGCAAACCATTATATCCATATATAAGTAAACTTGATATCATCAAGGGGCTGCGAGACGACACGGGACCGAGTATTTTTAATCTCCAAGTCACCGTCCGCTCGTAGCCTGAAAAAAAGCCCAAAACTCCTCCTAAAGAAATGACCATTCTATTGTTTGACCATAGGTATTCCCTGCGCCTTGAGAAACTCCACCGCGTCATCCATTCCGAACGGGGCGTTGAACCAATGTCCCCCGGCCGGGTACTCGTGCCAACTGACGTCCATGCCAAAGCTCGTCAGCCCATCCCGCATTTGTTTCCCGTACTCGACGAACACGAGCGGGTCGTCCGCGCAGTGCCCGAGGAAAACTGGCGTATTGCGTACCAACTCATCGCTCTTGCTATCCAGGAACTCCTCCAACCCCAGTATCTCCCTCGTCTCATCTAGAGTGCCCCCGGGAAACGGTAACCAGGCCGAGAACCCCATGAGTCCGCATAACCGCGGCGGCCTCGTCTCCTCTTCCTTCTCCTTTTCTTGTTCCTCCTCCTTTTCCTTCTCTTCATCCGCGCTCTTCTCATTAATCGCATCCCCCTCCTCCCCCAAATGCAGCAAAACATGCGCCGCCGTCGCGCCCCCCTGACTAATCCCCGCCAACACAACCCTATCGAACCCCCCGACCTTCCTAGCCTCCCTCCTAACAATCCTCCTCACACTCTCAACACTCTCCTTCAGCCCCAGGGCCTGCAGCTCCTCCCTATCCGTCATATCGAGGATATTCCAGACATCGAACCACTGCGGCCAGTGCTCGCCTATGGGGCTGCTCTCAACGAGGTTCGGCTCCGCCTGCGGGAACACCCACCTGACGGACGGGAACTCGTCGATGAGGGTGCGGCCGCGCGAGTCGCGGGTCCAGCGCAGCAGCGCGTCGGCCATGTTCTGCGACGTGTCGCCGCGCCCGTGCAGGAAGATCACCGTGTGCGTGTGCGGGTGCGGCGACAGCGGCGCTACCACCGAGCACCCGAGCTCCATTTCTTTTTGTTCGTTTGTCTCTCTCCCTTATTTGCCCCTTTGCAGATAAGTAGGTAGGTAGGTAAGGAGGTGATTGTCCTTATTTCCAGGTCTATTCCCAGATCCCGATTCCCGATGTTCCGTTTCCTAATAATTTGGTAATTTGATAATTTGCCCTGATGTGGAATGATAGGATGGATGCGAAGATGTAGTATGCAGGTATCTGACAAAGGCGATCGGTGAAAGATACCGTACCTGAATCAATACCTTTGTTACGCTTCCGATAAATGGGTAACGGGCGCGGTGTGGTTCAACCTACCCACCCTAATTAGGTGGTAGCGGCGCGCGACGGGCAAAGAAATGGAGAATCGGGATAGGACGAAGAAATAGAACTGGGAAAAGAGGCGAGGGATAACAGCTTCTAGATTAACATGACTCAGCCCCCTCTTCACAAGAACTTGGACCTTTTTTTTTAATGTAAACTTTATTAAAAAAAAAAAAGCCTCGGACGTGCAACCTCAAAATGTTACGTGCGGCGAGGCGATTCTGCAAATGATCGACAGATACGCCCGTGCTGGTGTGGTAAGCTTCTGGCTGGTGTATGTAAAGTGGCATGTAAACTGCGAGATAGATACAAAAGGTGCCGGCCGGACTGCGACCTTATAGTTTTGGGTCCATCCTCCCCATAGGATTCGCTTATCCCGGTTCCTGTGCGCTTGCCAAGCCGGAACACCACGGGGATCGTCCAAAAAATACGCGATTCTATATGTACGCTTAAAATCGTTGATATACCGATGCGGTAGGGCAGGCCAAATAGGGTTAACGTTCATGAATTATTTGGCGATAATCGATTAAATGGGCTGTGTTTTTGTCGCCTACTGCGTATCAAATTGGGGGAGTTGGGGACATATCACACTAGCTAGACCTCTATGGGTTAGTTATTCTGTATAAGAATATGTAAGACTTATAAGTAATTGTTTTGGGGGAAAGGGGTATACGAAAGATCAAAACAGCTGGTCTTATTCACTCTATTTAAATGACTTGTATGCTCTAAGTCTCAATATTCTATAGCTCATCCTTCTTAGTCCTTGGTTCGGAGTCTTCTTCAAGAGTTCTACTCTTGGTATTCTTCTCCTCGCCACCGCCCGTAAGCACCTTCTGGCTATCACCATCTGTGACCAACCCTCTCCGTCGTCGATCTACAGCCGCAATCTCGTCATCGTACACAGTCCACTCCGGCACCTGTCTTCTAGCACGATCTAGTTTCGGCTCCTTGGTTTGCGGGTTATTGCATAGATCGATGGTTCGTGCCTCTTTCTGACTCTCGTCACTGCACCACGTTTCACACCAAAGCCACTCTTGGGGTAAGCTGTGGATCGGTATGACAAACTGCATATGGTTGGGCAAGTCTTGGTCAAGATTAGAGAGAGAAGCAGGGTCGGCCGATAGCTGGTGATAATGCTGTCTGAGTCTGTCTCCGGCTGCGAGTTGCCTAAAACGGCGAAGATCAACAACATAGAGAGCCGAGATGTGGTATGGGTTGCCACGGAGGTAATTCTTCCAGTATCCTTGCTTCCAGAATCGGAAACCCTCCATCTCGGTCCGAGAGTCGCACATAGGCGTGAAGCCGTAAGGCGCCCCCTCTAGATCAAGGTTGACAAGATCCATCATATCTGTCCTCACAATCTGATCCGCATCGACGAATATAACTTTGTCGAGTGAAAGAGGGAACAAAACATCAAGGAATAGAATCTTGTAGCCCCAAATCTCGCGCTGCTTCTCCTTTTGCTGGCGTAGCCAATGTGGCCATTTGTAGGTGACCATCTCATACTTGAAGCCATATTCTTTAGCGAGGTGAGGGATGAATTCTTTGAAGGACGGGGACAAGAATTGTTCAATAAACCAAAACTTAACCGTGCGGTTCGTGTTCTTCATGACAGATACCATCATGATATTGAGCATACGCTCGTAGAGGTGACCGCTTGCCACGGAGAAGATATTGATCTCGGCATGTACTTCGTCTGAGACAGACTTCGACTTGGGCTTTGATCCACCGAGAATTCCTTCGGCGAACTTGAGGCCGCGCGAAAGGATATCACCCCCAGTGTCCGCTCCTTCTTCGAGCACATCTTCGAGTTCCATGCCTGGCTTCCTTTGGAGTCGCGGGTACAATGTCGTGCCTTGGAAGTCCATGAGAGCAACTTCGGTGCCTTCATCACCTAGAACAGCACTGTATCCCTTTGCGCCTACGCTGATTATATCAAATATCTCCGAGCTTCTTCCTTCTTTAAGATGTATATTAAAATACCCAGGATTTGCTTTGAACTGGAAGTATCCAAGATTGGACATAATTATCGTGTCGTCGAAATGGGGATCGCGCTCGGTACCAAGCAATAATTGCACGCCACGGGGAGGACTGTTTGTGCTTTCTCGGGAGTGACCTTCAATGAGAATATGTTCTAGTTCATAGGTAGCCTCCACATCCGTTTTAATGGAACTCAACTTTAGATTATCCAAATCCTGGACGGAGTCTTTCGCTGCCACTAGCCAAGCGGGCGGAACATCCATGCCTAAGTTGAGGAGAGCTTCAGAAGGAAGTCCTTTGAAGGTAGCGCCTAGAGGCTTGACCTTCCCGGAATCATCAAAAGATGGCGCCGAATCTAATATGTGTCGGTAAAATCTCTTGACGGGAAGCTCTTCTAGCTTCTCCTTCGGATTTAAAAAAATTCGCATATAAATGCCATCTAGCTGAGATAGAACCTTCAGTATAGGAGCCCATTTCTGTCCTACTTCGCTAGCGGGATTGATCATGGCGACGAAGTGAATGTTCGCTGTAGAAGCATCACCGACCTCAATCATCGTATGAGTCGAGTTCCACTGGTCGTACATAGTTGTCCTTAGAGTTGGAGCAGACTCAAAAATCCCCTCGGGTAGATCTGATATAGTAGATAGAGCTGTGACCGATGTAAGCTTCGCGGCAGCCAAAGGACCCGAGATCTTGTCAGTGAGACCTAGCGCGTCTACTGCTCTATATACCGGGAGGATTCGTGCTTCTTGTTCGAATCCGAGAAGCAATTCAAAGTCGCTCTCTTTGAATGCGGAGTTAGCGGTAAATGGTCCTACTACGCGACCATTAAGTATGAGCAATTGGGAACCTGGGACAATGGCGGCAGCTGTCAAAAATCGTGATAAAGCGACATTATACCCGTCATCCCGTACATTGATCGCCCCTGATAACAATAGTTCTAGGGCCTCTAGATTCTCGACTTCCAATAACTTTGCTACATCTTTCTTGAGCAACACGTTAATCTCGTGAGCATTGTTGGGCGATAGAGGGTTATTGATGATATCAAGGCGTACTCCCGGATTGTTGCGTCTGAATGACAAGGCTGACAGCAAAAGACGAAGCCCCTC